TAACGCGGCATCCATCTCAAACTAAGGCTGGCCGATTTTTGGTTGCTGCTCAGTGAATTTGGCCCTTTACTTGCTTCCAAAGAGTACGTGCAGTCCTAGCAAAGCAGAAGGCAGCAGAATTTTTGGAAGCCCAAAAACACAGCCAGGGTAATGCATTAGAGACCATTCTCGATACTCACAGTGTCTGGAGACTGAAGGTTGGAAGAATCATTGAGGCACTAACACCAGAACAAAATCAGGGAGACCGAGGGGAAGAAAGAGAGGATCCCTGTGTGGATTGGTGTTTTTTCTAGCTGGGAGAGAGCTCAGAGCACAGGATTGGAGCTGCAGCAGTAGCTGAAGCCTGGGTTTGTTTTGCAGCCCCTCTGCTCTGGGGAGACACCCCCCAGTGCTGCCTCCAGCTCTGGGGCCACCAACATCAGAAGGACATGGACCTGCTGGAGTGGGGCCAGAGGAGGCCCCGGAGATGCTGGGAGGGCTGGAGCCCCTCTGCTGGGAGGGGGGGCTGAGAGAGTTGGGGGAGTTCAGCCTGGAGAAGAGAAGGCTCCGGGGAGACCTTGGAGCCCCTTCCAGTCCCTCAAGGGGCTCCAGGAGAGATGGGGGGGGGGACTCTGGATCAGGGAGGGGAGTGATGGGACGAGGGGAAAGGGTTTGAAGCTGAAAAAGAAGAGATTGAGGTTAGATTTTGGGAAGAACTTGTTTATTTTGAGGGTGGTGAGAGCCTGGCCCAGGTTGGCCAGAGAAGCTGTGGCTGCCCCATCCCTGGAGGGGTTCAAGGGCAGGTTGGAGGGGGCTTGGAGCAACCTGGGCTGGTGGGAGGTGGCCCTGGGTGGGACTCGATGATCTTCAAGGTCCCTTCCCACCCAAACCATTCCATGCTTCAAGCTCCATGAACAGGCTCCCCCCAGCAGCTCGTCCCTGCCCCGTGGGTCCAGGTGGGATCCTGGTGCCCGGTCACGCTCCTGGTTGACCCCCGTGGGAAGCGTCCATCTCCCGGTGTCCTCCATCGTCACACGAGGCTGCAGATGAGGGACAGCGTCCTGCTCCTGGCACGGGGCTTGGCAGTGGGGCTGGCGGTTGGGCTGGAGGACAGCGAGGCCAACAAGGCGTTATGGGGTGTGGGGTGCCTGGTGGGATGCAGAATAGGGGGGTGGGGGGGAATTCCATAAGGGGTGCTTCAATCCTTCTTCAGATCTCAGATCAGAGATGAAAGCACTGCTGAGGAGAAGGATCTGGGGGTCCTGGTGGCCAGTAAACTCTCCAGGAGCCAGCAATGGGCCCTGGTGGCCAAGAGGCCAATGGGATCCTGGGCTGCGGAGGGAAGAGTGTGGCCAGGAGGTGGAGGGAGGTCATTCTCCCCCTCTGCTCTGCACTGGGGAGGCCACAACTGGAATCCTGCCTCCAGTTCTGGGCTCCCCAGTTCCAGAGAGACAGGGAACTGCTGGAGAGAGTCCAGCGTAGGGCAACAGAGATGCTGGAGGGATTGGGGCATCTCCCTGCTGAGGAAAGGCTGAGAGAGCTGGGGCTCTTCAGCCTGGAGAAGAGAAGGCTGAGGGGAGACCTTCTTAATGCTTCCCAGGATCTAAAGGGTGGGTTGAAGGAGGATGGAGCCAGACTCTTCTCAGTGGTTCCCAGGGACAGGACGAGAGGCAACGGGCACAAGCTGGACCAGGGGAAGTTCCCCTCCAATGTGAGGCAGAACTTGTTTGGGGTGAGGGTGGCAGAGCCCTGGCAGAGGCTGCCCAGGGAGGGTGTGGAGTCCCCTTCTCTGGAGATCTTCAAGCCCCAATGGATGCTCCTGAGTGATGTGCTCTGGGCAGCCCTGCTTTGGCCGGGGAGTGGGACCAGGGGATCTCTGGAGATCCCTTCCAACTCCAACAATTCCCTGATTCCCTGATCTGCTGCCCCCTCCATAGGGCTGGGTGTTGGGGTGGCTACAAGGTGCCAAAATGCCAAGCCCCTGTGATTTTGGGCTTGGGGACACGGCCGTTGTGAGGAGTGGGGGTGTCCAAATCCCCTCTAGGGGGTCTCCATTCCTGAACCCTCCCCTCAGAGGACACCCCAGAGTGTCACTTACCGCTCTGGGGGCCTCCGCCGGGGGGGCTGGTGGCCACGATGCCCTGGGAAACGCAGGGTGAGAACCACAGCCCTTGGCTGGTTGGGGAAGCCCAGCCCCAGTTGTGTTTGGTACTTACTTGGCCGGTGGCGCGGTGGGGCCGGGCACGGGTGGGTGGTCCTCAGGTTACTGGGGGCAAAGCAGAGATGGTGCTTCAGGAGGAGGTGATGGAGAGCGTAGGACCATAGGATGGTTTGGGTGAGAAGGGACCTCAAAGACCATCTGCCCCCCCCTGCCCTGGGCAGGAACACCTCCCACCAGCCCAGGTTGCCCCAGTGAGCTATAGGGTGACCCTACTCCTCACCCACTCACACCTCCAGCCCCTCAGCCCCCCAGAACCTGTGGTGGTAGGCACATCCTTCCCAGGATGGTCTTGCTTATAGACTCATAGAATGGTTTGGGTGGGAAGGGCCCTCAAAGACCATCCAGTCCCCAACCTGCCCTGGGCAGGGACACCTCCCACCACACCAGGTTGCTCCAAGCCCCCTCCAACCGGCCGTTGAACCCCTCCAGGGATGGGGCAGCCACAGCTTCTCTGGGCAACCTGGGCCAGGCTCTCACCACCCTCACACCAAAGAACTTCTGCCCCACATCTCAGCTCCATCTCCCCCCTTTCAGTCTCAAACCCTTCCCCCTCCTCCTAGGGCTCCCCTCCCTGATCCAGAGTCCCCCGCAGCTGTCCTGGAGGCCCTTGAGGGAGTGGAAGGGGCTCCAAGGTCTCCCTGGAGCCTTCTCTTCTCCAGGCTGAACCCCCCAACTCTCTCAGTGTGACAAACTCCATTGTCACATCGAAAACTAAACCTCCCCAAATTCCATCCTGAGTTACCCCAAAACAGGCTTTCCAGAATTATGCATCTTTTAAAATCTCTGCATTTTCTCCTTTACCTCCAACACGTCCCTGGGGCGATGCCACCCGTTGTGTTTTTTTGCTACGTGTCAGGGATACGTGGGTGCGAGGAGCTGTATTTTTTGGGGTGCCGCCCCCAAAAATACCTCGCCCACCCACCCGTTAGCGTGGGGCTGACTGTGAGACCCTGGAGCTGCGCTGGGACCATCCTCATCCTCCCCAGAGATGTCCAGGTGGCCACGTGGGTCCTGGGGCTTCAGTGTGGGGCCATCAGCTGGGACTGCTCTCGTGTCTGTGGGGAGAAAGGGCAACCAGGAGTGGGGTCCTGGACTGAGCCGA